CTTTATTTGAACTTTATGGAACTTGAAAGTTCTGTCGGAACTTTATTTGAACTTTATGGAACTTGAAAGTTCTGTCGGAACTTTATTTGAACTTTATGGAACTTGAAAGTTCTGTCGGAACTTTATTTGAACTTTATGGAACTTGAAAGTTCTGTCGGAACTTTATTTGAACTTTATGGAACTTGAAAGTTCTGTCGGAACTTTATTTGAACTTTATGGAACTTTATTTGCACTTTATGGAACTTGAAAGTTCTGTCGGAACTTTATTTGAACTTTAGGAACTTGAAAGTTCTGTCGGAACTTTATTTGAACTTTAGGAACTTGAACGTTCTGTCGGAACTTTATTTGAACTTTATGGAACTTGAAAGTTCTGTCGGAACTTTATTTGAACTTTATGGAACTTGAAAGTTCTGTCGGAACTTTATTTGAACTTTAGGAACTTGAAAGTTCTGTTGAAACTTTATTTGCACTTTATGGAACTTGAAAGTTCTGTTGAAACTTTATTTGAACTTTATGGAACTTGAAAGTTCTGTCGGAACTTTATTTGAACTTTATGGAACTTGAAAGTTCTGTCGGAACTTTATTTGAACTTTATGGAACTTGAAAGTTCTGTCGGAACTTTTTTTGAACTTTATGGAACTTGAAAGTTCTGTCGGAACTTTATTTGAACTTTATGGAACTTGAAAGTTCTGTTAGAACTTTATTTGAACTTTATGGAACTTGAAAGTTCTGTTGAAACTTTATTTGAACTTTATGGAACTTGAACGTTCTGTCGGAACTTTATTTGAACTTTATGGAACTTGAACGTTCTGTCGGAACTTTATTTGAACTTTATGGAACTTGAAAGTTCTGTTGGAACTTTATTTGAACTTTATGGAACTTGAAAGTTCTGTTGGAACTTTATTTGAACTTTATGGAACTTGAAAGTTCTGTTGGAACTTTATTTGAACTTTAGGAACTTGAAAGTTCTGTTGGAACTTTATTTGAACTTTATGGAACTTGAAAGTTCTGTTGAAACTTTATTTGAACTTTATGGAACTTGAACGTTCTGTCGGAACTTTATTTGAACTTTATGGAACTTGAAAGTTCTGTCGGAACTTTATTTGAACTTTATGGAACTTGAAAGTTCTGTCGGAACTTTATTTGAACTTTATGGAACTTGGAAGTGTTGAATGCGGAACTTTTGGTTACTTGGGTTATCTGGTTGGATCTCTATACGTTTCGTAAACTCGCAAAAGCAGCCCTAGCCTTCTTGATTCATGCATCATCATCATCATCATCATCAAGATGATAGTTCCTTGAAATGTTACGTTAGGTGGTGATTAATATCGAATTTATGGAGCATCGAAAAAAAAACAAAAACTAATATGTGCACGCTATTTCAAAACTACCCAAATTTGGGTAGAATCCCCCCAGATCGGTCAAAACTGAACCTACCCGAAAATGGGTAAACTAGGTTGGGAGTGACAAGTTGACAAAAAGACAACATCAACATGAATCCGATCGACTTTGTTCATTTGTCAACTTGTGACTCCCAACATAGTTTACCCATTTTTGGGTAGGTTCAGTTTTGACCGATCTGGGGGGATTCTACCCAAATTCGGGTAGTTTTGAAATAGCGTGTGGTGGTAAACTATAACGAACAAAGTTTGGTGCTCAGGTAAACAAATGAGGCACGCGACGCCTCTGGAAATTTTGAAGTTCTTTTCTAGTTTGAGAAACTAGCCGGATGTTCGCAACGTTTCTGAAAATTTCTGGAACTTTTGTGCTCCCGCAATGTTCATGGAATTAGAATAAAATAATCAATATAATTCTATGATTTTCTCTGAGGTTCTCAAGATTTTTTTGAAGTTCATGTAACTTCCCTTAAATAATCGGCACTAATTTAAAACTTCTTCAATAGTCTAGACTTTCCTGTCTAAACGATTATTGAATTTCTTTAAAGTTCTCTAGACTGCCCTGAATTTTCAGTATTTTTTTTTAAGAATCCGCAACTTTACTGAAATGAAATGATATGCCTTGAAGTTTCGAAAATTTCCCTTAAGTATTATAACCATTATAAACGCTCACTAATTTTTCCTGAGCTTATGTATAGTTTACCTGAAGTTCTCTAAATTTGTATAATAACCCGGCAAATTTTCTGATATCTATTTATAATTCCCTGACGCCTCTGCAAATTTGCTTAAGTTAATGGGATTATTCTGAAGTTATCGAATTGTCCTTGAAGTACTCGGAACTTCGCTGAATATCATGAAACTATCTAAAAGTATCTAAATTTATTAGAAGTTCTCTGGAATTTCTTGAAGGTATCACTGCTTGCTAAAAGTTCTCAATTTTTTTTAAATAATAGAAATTCGTTGATTTTCTCTAATCAATTTTCTTGAAATCTTCATGATATAACACGCTTAAAATACTCTCACGTTTTCCGGATGTTCATATAATTTTTATCACGTTCCAGAAATTCTCTCGGAGCTTTGCTGAAATTTCCGGAAATTCCCTGAGTTTCTCGCAACTTCTTTAAGATTTCTACAATTTTCTTGAAATAATTTGAACTGCCCTTTGATTCTCTAATCTGTCTTGATGTTCTCGAAGCTTCCCTCAAGCTCTCAATTTCCATTGAAGATCTCGGTTCTGGTGCTCGGAAATAAATGGAATTCTCGTAAACACCTTTAAATTTTCCTGAAATTCTCTGGGCTTCTGTGAAGTTTCTGAAATATTTCTGAAGTTTTCATAAATTCTCTGAAGGGCTCTGTACTTCCCTGAAATTCTCAGAACATCTTAAGGGTTCTCGATTTTTTTTCAGCACATCATGGAACTATCCTGAATTTTTCTAAATTTTCCGATTATAGATCTTTAAACTGCTCCAAAAGTCTTGAGTAAAGCTACGGAAACTACTCTTAAGATCTGAAATTCCCCAAAAATCTCTAGATTTAGCTTTTCTGAGGTACTTAGAATTTCTTAAAAATTTGCACAATACCCCTCATGTTTTCTATATTTCTCAAGTTCTCACCTGTGAAGTTCTCTGAAATTCTAGGAACTCCATAAAAGTTCCCGAAAATTTTCAGATGCTAAAAGAACCGCTTTGAGGTTCTTAAAGCCTCCAGTAAGTTCCCCGTATTTTTCAGCTTGGACTTACTCAAATTAAGTAAGTCTTAAATTTCAACAATAAATGGGTTTGATTGTAAAGCTGCTTCTTTAAAACTGATTGCCATGTCTTAAAAACGTTTGGGTAAATTGCTGTTCTTTTTGATCCACCAACAAATAACATATTTTTAACGCATTTGAAAAAAATACCTTTTTTATTAAAAATCTGGTATTTATCCATTAAAGTACTGGAAAACCTGGAAAACTTAGGTAATTTTATTTAGAAAAATTAGTAGACACCCTGTAGATAGAGAAAGACGATTAAACGCCACAAAGCAAAGAATGATCAATCTTGAAATAAATTCACGTTTAAAAAGTTGACAATAGTGACTGATTACAAGAAAAAGTGACTTTAGTGACTTGGCCTTAAAAAAAGAGAGTTTTTAGTGACTTGCTTGAAAAAAGTGACTCGCTACCAGCCCTGCAATAGTTGATGTGCTCTTTTTTGTTGTTGGTCGTGATTTGCTCGATTGGTTCCGCTCTTTGACAGCTCAATTGGTTCCCGAGATCCTATCCGCCAGACTATGAATATAGGCCCTTATTACGGGTGTCACTTCACGGTGAAAACGAAGTGAGGTGACCAGTTCTCACTCACGGTGAAGTGATTGCCGTGTAAATCATATGGGAATCACTTCACCGTGAGTGATAAGTTCGACAGTGAGCATGCATAAGGGCGAAAACGCGATGATCGATTCTCTTCATCGATTTTCTTTTTGCATTGCTACAGCTAAGCGAAACAATTTTCTAGAATTTGTTCAATGCAGAGTAGTAACAGGTTGTATTGGCTATCAAAATCAACAGCAAACGCACAGAGAAACGTTAAATCTAGCGAGTTATTAACAAAAGAGAAAATCGACGAAGAGAATCGATCATCGCGTATAGGCCCTTATGCATGCTCACTGTCGAGTTGTCACTTCACCGTGAAGTGACATCGGTAATAAGGGCCATAGCGACTATAGCTTTAAATGGATGTTGTGAGGAGTTCTTTCATCGGTTTTAAACGCACTATGGGTTTCGATAGAATTAAAAGACTTTTTTTTATTTCGACTATCGTCATTCTCGTAACGCGCACAAGTTCTATAGAATTGCTTATAATCCCTAAATCGGGTTATATAATCTAATGGCTTACGAATGTAAATGAGATTGTTTTCCATTACTTTATTAGTATAATTATAAGAAAATACTGCCAATCTTACTTTGGAGAAGGAATCTGGCGGATAGCTGCGTTGTAATTCAGTTGCCAGTAATTTAGATAGAGATTCGATACTATCATAAATCCAAAAAAATAGAAATCACCACACACAAAAGAACGTTCGAAATCGTAGAAGCTTGTTATTAAGCAATGCATATTTATTTTATGTTAAATCACCCTCCCGGTTGGTTCCGGAAAATTCCCGGCACGAATACTAATTTTTTTCTACTTGGAAATATGGAAGTATTAGAATGTTTTTTTTTTTCGTTTGTCCATCATTTCGGAAGAGATTCTGTTCTTCATAAATATTAGTTTTGAGCACTGGTCGCAAAAATATGTTCATTGTTTAAAGATTCTAGCTAGGTTCTAAATGTTAACCGTTTTTCGTCGGTTTGCATCTGTAAATAGTAATGGGTTGGAACACTCTCTACGGCAGATCCTATCAAACGTAAACCTGAAAACTCGTCGTGCATTACTTACTATTGGTATAATAGTCACAACCTACTTGTAACGTTTATTAAACTATTGTTTCTCCTCTTGTACAGAGAGCTAGCATATAACTCGGGTTCGACAGAACGGAAATTGGTGTTTACATTTTTGATTACAGTCCAAAGCAAAGGCAAATATCAAAAGTGGTAGGTACGTACATAAATTGATCCTAACTCTATAAAACTAATAGAATGCACTTTTGGGAAACGAAATTTTTGCTATCTAGAAAATGGAATACACGATTCTTACTCAACAATATCAACCTACAGCTAATAACAAAGCACAAGTTAGCACGAGTGACGTTGTAAAAATAGTAAAAACAATAAATAGTTAAATATACTTCTGGTAAATATATGCTGGTATTAAGATAAAACAAAAAAGAAAAAAAAAACTGGACGCCAATCTTGCGCCTCTTACAGACTTTTGATGTGTCGGGATCGCTTCAGCAAAATACAGCACGCGGTAAGGCCGTTGGAGAACTTGCCCAGCTCGGACATTGGCACCGTCTGTCTAGGAATGTCCAGTTTCTGCGAGAGGATCTGGCGAAATTTGAACGAAACGATGTTAGCTTACGTTTTACGGTAAAATTGAACCGCGCAGATGACTTACCGCCGCCGAATGGGGCATTTCCTCGCTCAGGCGATGGATCAGCGTCCCGTTGACGAACAGCACGTTGGCCGCCTGTTCCTCCTGCAGCGTCAGGGTGCTGTAGGTGTAGGTGGCTTCCCGTTCGATCCGTTTCAGTATCTCCTGGGACTCTTTGCTCCGGCTGACGCACAGCACGTCGGTACCGGCCATCGAGACGTAGTACTTCAGGTGATGGTGTTCGGTCACCTGTGCGGGGAGCGATAACGGTAGATGCGAGACGGGTAGAGGGTTAGTTTTGTTTTTGGCAATGGCAGGGGATAGTTATAGCAACTCGCGGAACTAAGCTGGGGTAACAAGGTAAGCGCAACATCAACCAACGAATAAACGTAAGCATGAACGATTAACAACAGTGCGTGGTGCATAGAGTGTGTGTGTGAAACTTTCTTCTAACAGGTGACAATCCTATAGCTTAACATATAGCAAATTTTGTATTGAAAGAGAACAAATTAGAACAACATATCCCCTGGAGGTTCGATCAAAGATTACTTTAGGTCAACGCATTCGGATTTGTCAGTTAAATCTATTGCCTGCACGAGTTAGTGACTTGAGCCGAGTGCATCGGTGAATGAACCATCCACTCCAGGACAAGCAGTGAACTAGCAACGATAACAATTAAAACACGAACTAGCTGGCTATATGAATGTATCCGCTAGACTATTTTGGGCCGACCTTTTGTCTCGACACAGCAACATTCCTCCAAGATAGCGAGTGCGGTAATCGGTCTACTACAGTACTTGGAAGTTGTCGAAACCCAAGCAGGGTGTCAATTCCAAGCAGGGTTCAGCAGCGGTCCACGTTAGAAGGCAAACTAGCTGTATCACACCTGGGCAAATGATGGAAGGCATACTTCCTTTGAACTCTGTCAAATCTAGCTATAATGCAAGCTTGATATGGGCAGCAGGCGACAGTACACTTTAAAAAACTTAACCAACTGAAGAACAGCACAGCATCTTCAGGTATTATAATAGCGAACGACGAGTCTTGAGAATTTTTTGGAATAAAACATCGGATAGCTTTAGTCAGGATGTCATTGTAGTGTGGATTGAGGGTCAATTCACAATCGAGTGTAGCTCCTAAACCTTTGATCACGCTAGCTCGATGACTCTAACTAGTGACTGATTATAATCAACTGATGAAAAGGAACTAAAGGATGATACGGTCAAAATTTGGTCAATATCAACTTGACGTATTTCTTTCAATTTTGCATTTAAAAAACCTGAACACCCCTCATTTTGAAGGTGTGTGTGTGTAGAATGTTGCTCCTATTTTGATTTTGGAATTCATTCTTCAGTTGTCAAAATGCCGTCCAAGCAAGAAGAGCAGCGTATCAAAATTTTGCTCGCGCATCGCGAAAATCCGAGCTACTCGCACGCAAAGTTGGCAAAATCGCTAAAAGTTGCCAAATCAACCGTTACAAATGTAATTAAAGTGTTTGGGGAACGTTTGTCGACAGCCAGGAAGTCTGGATCGGGGGGAAATCGAAAACCGGAAGCCGCTGAGACGACAAAGAGAGTTGCCGGTAGTTTCAAGCGAAACCCTAACCTCTCTCTCCGAGATGCCGCAAATAAGCTGGGTGTATCGTCTACAACCGTGCATCGAGCCAAAAAACGAGCCGGACTATCGACTTACAAGAAGGTAGTGACTCCAAATCGCGATGATAAACAAAATACGACGGCCAAAGCGCGATCCCGGAGGCTGTACACGACGATGCTGACGAAGTTTGACTGCGTGGTAATGGACGACGAAACCAACGTCAAAGCCGACTACAAGCAGCTTCCGGGACAGGAGTTTTATACGGCAAAAGGAAGGGGAAAGGTAGCAGATGTTTTCAAGCACATGAAACTGTCAAAGTTCGCAAAGAAATATCTGGTTTGGCAAGCCATCTGTACCTGTGGCTTGAAAAACAGCATTTTCATAGCTTCCGGGACTGTCAACCAAGAAATTTACGTGAAAGAGTGTTTGAATAAACGTCTGCTGCCTTTCCTGAAGAAACACGGTTGTTCCGTACTGTTTTGGCCGGATTTGGCATCTTGCCATTACGGTAAAAAGGCCATGGAGTGGTACGCCGCCAACAACGTGCAGGTGGTTCCCAAGGACAAGAACCCTCCCAACACGCCAGAGCTCCGCCCAATTGAGAAATACTGGGCTATTGTCAAGCGGAACCTAAAGAAGACCAAAAAAACTGCTAAGGGCGAGCAGCAGTTCAAGGCAAACTGGCTTTCTGCGGCGAAGAAGGTGGACAAGGTGGCTGTACAAAATCTGATGGCAGGGGTCAAGCGTAAGGCCCGGCAATTCGGATTTGGAAAAGCGGAAGCCTAACTGAATATTTTTCCTGAATTTTATACTAATTGAACTTGAAAAAGAAATTTAATTTGATTCTTTAAATAAACGATTTCACCGATTTACACGCGTTTTCCCTTGACCAAATTTTGACCGTATCACCCTTTACATACAGTAATGACCCGAATTTGTCAGCCCCACACTTTTATCTTTCAATAATTTCACGTAACGGTGCCGGTGGTGTAGTGGTAAGCGTGATTACCTCTCACCCCAGCAGGCCTGGGTTCAATCCCAGTCGGCGCCGCCGGGATGTTCTGAGGCATAACATCTCTGATCACGCCTTCCTTCGGATGGGAAGTAAAGCCGTTGGTCCCCGGTTCATGAGTTGATGGGTCGATAGGTAGGGTCCAGGTGTGGGAGCTGCCTTCCTGGCACGTCGGTAGCATTGGTGCTCAGCACGGAAAACAAGATCGACGGAAAAAACAAACCAAAGGAAAAAAAAAAAATAATAATAATTTCACACAACTGGAATTGCAAATCTTTCTCATTCATCGTCAAGATGGATGTTTTAAGTATACTTTGGTGCAATAAGAGCACTGACAAGTCACATGGGTTTCGTAGATCAATTTTAAATTGAGTTTCATATACTGCCGTTCTACGCATATCTGGCCTATGTTCTAAAAGTTACATCTGAGAAAATCGCAAATATTGTTTTGAATCATTTCTGCTCATTGGAAAAAAAAATATACGTTAAAATAAGTTTGTTTTATTCTTATTAAAAGTCCAAGTGTTAACTATTTATACCAACTTTATTTAAGCAAACGAACTTAACACGGCGAGGACTATATCGATAATGATGGCTGACGGTGCTGCGTATTTTATGCTACCAGCATGTTGTAGTGATGAAAAGATCAGTGGTGCCATCAATACTGCAACATCTTCCGCTTTCTTCAAAAGCATTCAGAACTGTAGATGAAAATCCTTCAACTTTTCCGGCACACGAGTAGCTCTTTTAGGACGGTCAATTTTTAACGGTGTAATGGGACGAACCCTTTTTGATTTGGCACCCGTTGACATTTGATTTACCGGCGGCGATATCGGCGACGTTACAGTAGGCGACGTTTCGGCTATCACCTCAGTCTCCGTTTGACAAGAAGGAAAAACCTGATTGGATTCTCCGTTCAGCAGCGAGGAAGTTTCATTTAAGCAGATCTCAGGAGGACACATTGGATAGGATGACATTGTGCGGCTCGGCAGCGTATTGGGATCCTTACGCGGCTTTAGGTGGACCAAGGAACGACGGTATTCCGCCCCGTTGACGTTTACCAAGTAGGATCTGTCGTTGTATCTATGGAAAATCATTCCTGGCGTCCAAAGTTTCGAAGATTCAGGATGCGCTTGAACGTATACCGGAGAACCAATATTCAGCTCCGGTAATTTTTGTGTCTTCCGATCATAATGCAATTTCGATTGTTTACGGTTCTTTTCTATTCTAGCGGGAACATCCTCCACCACCTTCGGAAGTAGATTAGTTGCGGCTGTAGGAACACCACAGCGAGTTGAGCGTGACAGCAAACGCGCAGCCGGACTAGAACCAATTTTGTTTGGAATGTTGCGCCAGTGAAGCAATGCATACCAGAAGTCAGATCCACTTTCTTTTGCTTTCTTCATCAGGTTTTTTGCGATTTTGACTGCAGCCTCTGCCTTTCCATTGGCTTGTTGGTGATGGGGAGCTGATGAAGCCAATTCGAAGTCCCAATCTACAGCAAACCGACCCTTTGTGGTACTCCGTAGCGTGAAAAATTTTGCGTACACGCAGCGATTACAGATTTGGGAGTCAAACCTTTCAAAAGATTAACCTCGAAGAAATCCGAAAAATGATCTGATTATCTTTTGGCTAGTGAAATTTGTACCGTTATCTGTAACAACCGTGATCAGAAACTTACATTTGGACCCATTCATTTCGGTAAAGAAGACGTCCATGGAAATAAGCTGGAACGGATACATGGGGATCTCGTGACATTTCATCGGCGGATTCTGTTGTGACGGTGCATACTTAGCACATACTGCACATCCTTTCACCAAATCCTTGATTTGGGAGGTCATCCCCGGCCAGAACAGATTAGCACAAGCCAACCTCAACGTAGCTTCTATTCCATTGTGGCTTGCGTGGCAGCTCTCAATCAACTTTTTGCGAAGAACTTGCGGAACCAGAATGCGATCCTCACGGAATACCAATCCATCTTGAGTCGAAAGCTCATTACGATAACCAAAATACATCTTAATGCCATCAGGAACACTGTCAGCGTACTTGGGCCAGCCGTTTCGGATGTAATCAATGATCAACTGCATCGCTTGGTCCTTTTCTGTCTCCTGCATAATTTCATTCAATCTGGCGCTTGACACGCAAAGAAAGTTGCTCAGCTTCACCTCTTGAATTGCTTCGAACACCTTGAAAATATTCTCCTTCTTGTACTCGTCTCGAGCTTCGATGTTTGACAACGGTGCACGAGACAGTGCATCAGCCATAACGTTATCTTTTCCGGTGACGAATTCGATTGACAAATTATATCGTTGAAGGTTGAGCAACATGTGTTGCAAACGACGAGGTGCTGACAGGAGCGGTTTGCGAAACACAGTTATAAGCGGTTTGTGATCGGTTTTGACCGTAGCTTTCGGGTTTCCAACAATCAACTGATCGAAACGAACACAAGCGAAGACTATGGCCAGCAACTCCTTCTCGATCTGAGCATAGTTCTTCTCAGTTGCGGTCAACGTTCTCGATGCGTATCCTATTACCCCGTCACGTTGAAACACTGCTACTCCAAGGCCGATGCTACTTGCATCGCACTCGATAGTGAGAGGATGATTTACATCATAGTATTATATCCGATACCAATGATTTT